CCACTCTGCCATAAAGCCCAGATTGGTGGAGTGCTGCATTGATCTACTGGAAGTTTCTTCAATCTGCACATAGGATCTTTGGAGCTCAGCCAGATTGAATATTGGGTTCTTGGTCACCTCTCTTACCAAGGCCCTTCTCCCCTGATTACTTAGTTTGGTGTTGTGGCCAGCTCTAGGAAGAGTCCTGGTTTTTCCAAATATGTCCCATTTAAGAATTATGGAAGCCACTGTGCTCTTGGGAACTCTCAATGCAGCCAAATTTTTTAGTAGCCTTCTCCAGATCTGTGCCTCCATACAATCCTGTCTCTGAGCTCAAGGCCGCAACATAACAAAATGTGATTCCTTGGCAATGAAAGATTGCTAGAGCTGTGCACGTGTGAGTGAGTGTGTACTGAAAAACCAAAAGCATCAAAAAAACAACCTCCAGTCTACCTAATTTTGTTTATGGATGCAAATGACTGTACATATTCACTGTCAGTCCAACAGGTGTAATATGGAGTCCCATGAGAGACAAATGCTCCACAGGGGAAAAGCTGTGAGGGAAATGGAGCATTTATTCAGTCCCACAATATCAGCTAAAAGCTTTGTTTAATCTGCCAACATTGCTGTGATAATAATTCATTTTGTACAGATTGTGGTCCATCTGTTTCTGTACATAATTTGTCTGTCTTTTCCCCATTCTTCAATGGTCAGGATCCCCACAGGACCACTACAGGGGTTCACTAAACAGGTATTATTTGGGTGGTGGACTGTAGCACTGGAATGAAATGTATAAAAAAGAGAACCTGATAAAATGGACAAAGACAGTAGATACAGCCTGTACGTAATAAAGTGGCCAGTGAGGGTATTTTTAAATAATAATAATATTGATTATTATTATTATTTTATTATTATTTGTATTATTATTATTATTAGTAGTAGTAGTATTGTTATGTAGCATTGATAGGGGGCAAAGGAACACTCATCAGCATTGTCTGATGAACAACGAGCGTGTTGTGAGCCAGAAGATATAACATAAGTTAGCATGGCTTAAAACTCCCACCAAAAACTTCCAGTGTAGTTTAACTTTTAACTGTAGACGTGTACACGTGGTAAAAATAAACATTAACTCTTGCAAGAGAAAAACAGTTCTGTTAGCTAATGATTTTACCAGCTAGCTTGTTTTCCAGTCATTAAAAGAGCACAGACTAGAGAAGCCTTTGGAAGTTTTAAAGGGGCTGTACCCTTGTTTTGCAGAGGATTTCAACTTAGTTCAGCACCAAAAGTTAAACAAGTTGTCCCCAGACATGTGTTCTTGTTACGAGACCCCAGCAATATTAGTGATTGGTTAAGGAGACAGATGGCTTTAGTATGGCTGAGTATTGTTTGTCAGTCACTCTCTTTCCGTGTATGAACTTTCCTGTTCAGTTGTACTTTCATATTCAGATTTTTGGCAGACTTGTGGCACTCTGACTCTCTTGAGCCTCTGCTGTGTGTGGCTGCAGGCTGTAGGTGTGTGTATGTGTGTGTTGATGGGGCTGGCGCAGCTGGAGCCGAATCAGAAAGGGCGCCTGAGGTTGCTCCTGAAAAGTCACTACAAGAGACACAAACATGGACAGTGTGTGTACGTGATTGTGATTCTGAAATCCAGAGGTTTGTTTGTGTGTGTGTGTGTGTGTGTGTGTGTGTGTGTGTGTGTGTCTTTGGCATCTAAGAAGTGCCATGTAAAGTCATTTATCCAACAGTAAATGTTCATTAACATTAGAATGAATGCAAACAAACAATGTGTTGTGATTTGATGTGAGTTATTTTCAAAGCTGTCCTTGAAGTTCAGTATTTACAGTTACCGTGTAATGCCTCATTTATCTCATCAAAACTTCATTAAGTTAAATCAGATGCTGCTGATGGAGTTTAACACATCTATTCAGTGGCTGGAGAGCAGTAAGATGTCTAGAACCAAACTTATTTTTAACTTTGTAAAAACAAAAAGGAAAAAAAATCATACTTTTTTTACTGACACTGTTGCTCTAAAATCTTCTATCAATACTCAGTTTTTAAGTTTTGCCATAATTTGAAAACATTGTGTTAAAATTTCATCATGAATTAACCAACAGAAATTGTTCAAAATGAATAAAAAATCTTGTTACATTAACTTACATTACAAGTTAAGAATGTTTTTTCCTTCTCCTGTAAAGCTACCATTTTGGAGGAACAAACTTTTGTTCTGACAGCAGCAATACGTCTATTTGTATTTATTCTAATGTTATATAGGGTTTTACTGGCGTAAATAGTTTGAAACCATTTTCTTAGCTGCCCTAAGGTATCCTTCGGATTAGTGTTACATTAGGAGGTGGGGAAATGCAATTTTACCACAAGACTTCTGCAGAGTTAATGAGGTTAAAGAGCATTTTGCATGGGATAAGACATTTTGGCATATATTACAGAGATGACTGTGGCTAACTGATTTACACATTACTATCAAACCAAAAAAATTCCATATGCGATAAGTTCACCTGCTCTTAGGTAGAAAATATGTCCTACATTTAATTTAATCATAGTTTCATTTACCTTAACTGTGCTTGAAGTAAATGCAATGTGTAATTAGCATTTTTATTAACTTGGGAATTTATAGACAGCAGTTTTAGAGGAACTTACCACTTCAGAAATGTTCACAGTGGTGGTGATAGAAATCAGACCCTAACATAAATGTATGACATGACATGAAATGGTCACAAATATGCTGCCTGATGCCTTTTTTGTTATAGTTTTGGAAAAGGTTTCGACTAAAATGTAATTTTAAAATACGTTTACATGCAGGGCGCTATAATGCTCAAGGAATTTTTTTTCAAATTTTCCACTGTTTAACCATCATCAATACTACATGTAAAAATTCAGAAAACATGGGTAAGTATAGGCTGTCATGTTTTTGCATAATAAATAAAATGACTGTATTTGCATTGCTGACATCAGAACCCTAGATTACTATCACCATCATTGTGAAGAAAATCTAAGTCTATAAGTTCATTTCACAATACAACACTATTTCTCTCTTTCTCTCTCTCTCACCCCCGTCTCTCTCTCTCTCTCTCTGATATAAGAGCCTCGGGGTTAGTGGGTGAGAGTGTGAGTGAGATGTCTTCCTATCGTAAACATCTCTTTATCTCCATCTGTTCTCACGACTCAGCAGCATGCTGAAATCACATTATTGGCACGAATGCTGCAGTTTGATTGGTTAATCGATTAGTGCTTATATCCAGAGTCGTAAGGGGAGCAGAGGAGATGAGATCAGCAGAGATTAACTCACGAACAGTTCATTCATCTGCCTAAATCACTCATACATTTCACACTTCATAACTCCTGTCCTCGCAGATTTACAAGCTGATTACATCACACATGTTCTGTTAAATGAACAGTTTATCAGAAAATGAAATGTACACAAAAGTGACTTTGGACAAAAGTACAGCTAAAAAAGTGGCAGACATGCTGAATCCTAAATTATATCCATGTTCTTGTCTATTTTTATAGATAACAGTAGGAGTTGCCAGACAGTGTCAGAAACCATATAAGCAAGTCTATTTGAGATTACTTAGCAACTTTGTGGAGTTTATGGCAAATGTGCAATGATTTAAACATGCAGTTTGCATAATGCTGGGAACAAATCACTAAGTTGCAAGTAACAAGTAAGTCTCAAGTCTTCACGCTCAAGTCCCGAGTCAAGTCCCAAATCAAGATAGTCCAGTCTCAAGTCAGTACAGGTGAGTCTTGAGTCAAGTCCCAAGTTAATAGTGCTAATCTTCAAATCCTACACAAGTCAGTGTGTATTCTTAAGATAATTTAAGGCCAGAACACTGAATTATGGTATCAGTACTATGACCCTTTATGCCAGCATGTTAGTAGTGTGTGGCTGTGTATTCATTTTTTATTATTTCTTTTTTTTAACCCTTCCAACTAAAATACAAAATCCATGGTACAAAGATAACCACGAGAGAACCGTATACACAAAAAAGTAGTACAACTACATGTGAAAAGAATTTAAAAAGTACTCTCAAGTCGAGTCTAAAGTCATCAAATTGGTGACTCGAGTCAGACTCGAGTCCAGGTCATATGACTCGAGTCCACACCTCTGCTAGTTAGTGGGGGGGGGGACACGATTCGATTTCTGATTCTGGGTTCATGATTCAATATTGTCATGATATTTTTGAACAGAATTCAGATGAAGAAATGAAATGATGACTGTAATCATGCTGTTGCACTACTAAACGACACCACAGCTGAGAGGCTAGAGGAGTGCTGGAGGGAGTTAATGAGTTAATTGATGCTGATCTTTGGCAAACTTCAATGTTGAGACAGTCGCAAGAGATGTTCATTCTCTTTCATGCATTGTCACATCTCCACAAAGCACATCATCACAGTTTTGCATTGTAATATCACAATGTCACCACACTTTGTCATACCTCTACTTGTCAGCTACATTCAGAGGTGGAACATTCAGGTCCAGAAAGTAAAAATCCTCCTAGAATTTTTGTCCGACTGCCTGGACACCTCTGCTTCTAGTTTGAGATAATTAGAAAAGCCAACCAGTCAGAATTAAATCCTAGAGAGAGTTTTTACTTTCTGAACCTGAATTTTCTGCCTCTGGCTATATTAGCCTCGTAGCTCTGGTACAAAAGTAAAGAAGTCAGCTTCAGACACAAAACATGTCTTGACTGATCTGACCAGATTATGGTTAAGGGGGAAATTTTGTAAGTAAGATTTTTTTTTGCAAAGCCATTCTTTTAATGTCCATCTTTCATCTTGTTCTCGTCTTTTCATCACTTCAGTACTTCTCAGTATCTCTGTGTGCTTTTCCATTTCATCTTTTACTCTCTTCCTTCGCTTTTCTCTCTCTCTCTCTCTCTCTCTCTCTCTCTCTTTCTCTAAGACTGGAACTTCAATGAAGACACTCTCTTTCAGAAACAGTGTTAAATCTCTCTCTCTCTCTCTCTCTCTCTCTCTCTCTCTCCCTCTCTCTCTCTCTGCAGGTACCCCTTCCCCACTGTGTTCAGTTCATGCAGTAAGAAGGACCTGCTGGTCAGTTTGGAGAAGGGAGTGGGCATGTGCCTCTTCAACATGCCTGAGGTCAAAGTGCTCTACGGGGGGCAGAAGTGTGGCAACGGATACGTGGAGGAGGGAGAGGAGTGTGACTGTGGAGATCTGGAGGTACATCTGGGCGTGTGTGTGTAGATGAACTCTTTCTGTCATCCTTTGATGTGTGGCAGTGAAAACTGGGTCAAGCTGAGAATGTTGTCCAGAGAATGTTGATTTATTAATGGATCTGAAAGGGAGAAAATAAGGGAGAAAATTATGAAAAGCCAAAACCATTGAAGAAGAAGCGAAAACATGCTCATGATATGAACATTTGCTGCAGTAACAGGCTCTACTCTTCTAGGAAGGCTTTACACAAGATGCATTGCTGTGAGGATTTGATTGCATTCAGCCTCAAGAGCATAAGTGAGGTCAGGTACTTATGTTGGATGACTAGTTCTGAATCACAAACATTACTAAAACTCATAGTGGGACTGGATGGAGCTCCATCACTTCAGAGAACACAGTTCCACTGTTCCACAGCCCAGTGCTGGGGGGGCTTTATACCCCTCTAACCTATGCTCGGCTTTGGGGACTGTGACCTATTGGCAATGCTTTTCTATGGAGATTATAAAGCAGTATGTGCAGTTAAATGCCTTTGTCCACAATAGGTGCACCTTAACCCCTTAACAAGCCAAAGTTTTATTACACTTCTATAACCTAAGAATTGCTCAATTTGTTTGCATTGAAGTCCCTGTTGTTACTGAATAATAAGGCTTTGTATGAAATAAACATGGATTGTTCAGGGGTTAAAGTATCTGAATTTACCTGTTAGAAGGGGTGACTGGATATTTTCTGTCATATTTTATATACTCTGCAAGAGCAGCAACTGGTCAGTCAGAATAAGAATACCCATTCTAACATATAGCTTACTATCTACTGCTTTCCCCTCTGTCACAAAGAATCAAATGTACCCTCCATGAGAAGCGGAGGGTGTTTGATAGGGTGCCCAAGGACAGTTTTTGATTAGGGCTCCCAAAAGTTCAGATGTGAGGGTCTAATGAGGACATTGCTTTTTTGTGTGTGCCTGTGCGCTTGTGCTACACAAACTTAACACACCTCCCTCTCCAAGCATTCACACTCCAGCATGAGTCATGGATCATTATGGGCTTATCATCCAAATCTGTGACAAGTGAAATAAACAAGCACTTCAGTCGAATGTTTTCTCCCGACCACACCAGGAGAACAACCCAGAAATCTGAATATCACACAGGCACATGTGTGTGGCAGAAGTGTGAAGAGCGGCCTCTGTTAGTGACAAAGTCCTGAAGCCATTTGATCAGTCTCAATGTCTGTTTATTGATCTTTTTTGCTGGCAACTCATAATGCAATGACAGTTCACAAGAGTGTTGTATTTGTGAGTGTGCATGCCAGGGGATCTGTGTGTTTGTGGCGGGTGTGGTGCGTGTAAGAACAGCGCTAATCATTCAGTCTGCATCATTAAGATGAATTTGTTTCTTCTAGTTCCATTAATGCTCTGGAGAAAAAGCAATGCCTGAGAAAACTATTGTTTTGGTAGTTCACATCTAGTTCACACACACTACACACAATTCACACACATACACGTACACACACACACACACACACATACACAGTGCACATTGCCTGGAAAACTATTGTTTTGATAGTTCACATCCAGTTCACAAGCATTACACACAGCCCACATACACACACAGTACACATTAATCATAGAAAGAGCACCATTGTGAAGGCAGTTCTGATTTTATTTTAGTTCTCTACGCTGAGATATAAAAAAACTACTTCTCTATCATGGTTGAATCATAAAATAGTGTTACAGATACAAATCCTGTGCTAAAAAAAGGTACAGCAGGTAAAATGCATATAAAAACAGAAAGCAGTCATTTGTAAAATGTCCTTTACAGGTATTTAATTGCACAAAGAAGATATATGTAATATATACGTAAGATATATGTAATAATATATTTTTTATCATATCAACTGTATTGATTTTTGTAAGTATACACTAACTCCAAAATTAATGCTAGCAATACATTTAAGAAAAATTGAGATGGGGCAATGTAAGACTGAGACATTTGTGGAATAATCAAAAACACCTGTTTTTGAACTTTCTACAGCTAAACAAGTGAATGGGTAAGAGCAGATGCTATCATGACCGGGTATAAAAGGAGCATTCACAAAAGGCTAAGTCACAGTTGAAGTTCACCACTTTGCACTGCGTGAGTGAATAGTCCAACAGTTTAAGAACAACATTTCTCAATGCATAACTGCAAGGAATTTAGGGATTTTATCTACAATCCATACCATTAAAAATATTGAGAATCTGGAGAAATCTCTGTGTGTAAAAGGCAAGGCCAAAGACCAATACCGAATACCTCTGTCCTCTAACCCCTCAGGCGTCACTGCATTAAAAACAGACATGTTTCTGTAATGAATACATCCACATGGGCTCAGGAACAGCCCCCGTCAATAAACATAGTTTGTTGCTACATCTATAAATGCAAGTTAAGACTCTACCACAAAAAAGAGGAAGCCATATATCAACAAGATCCAGAAACACCACTTACTTCTCTGGGCTAAAGCTATTTGAGACAAGCTGACGCAAAGTGGAGATGTATTGTGATCTCATGAGTTCACCTTTCAAATTGTTTTTGGAAATAAAGGATGTTGTGTTCTCCAGGCCAAAAAAGGAGAAGGACCATCCCAAAAGTTACCAACATAAAGTTCAAAAGCCAGTGTCATGATAGGGGTCATGATAGGTGTTATTGCTGATGCGCCAAAACCTTAATAAACCCTCAATATGTCTTTCTTCTGACTCCCTCTCTGCCTCTCTCTCTTCAGGAGTGTATGAACCCCTGCTGTAATGCCAGCACCTGCACTCTGAAGGGAAATGCAGTTTGTGCACATGGCCAGTGTTGTGAAGACTGTCAGGTAAGTGACACAGACACACCGCATTTATTTATTTCTGTTTTAAAAGATTCTGGTAAAGTATTGATACATTGATTAAATGGGAACTCCGCTGGTTTTTCAAGATTTCAGCATAATTCAGTCATCGAGATGTAAAGAGAGTGGTTTGATGCGAAATGCTTAATTGTAGAGAAACTAACCAGCTTTACAGTGGTGGTGATAGGAACCAGAAGTCGCAGTGTCTACAAAACAAATATGGACATTTTATTTCCTACACAAAACTACCAGTAAACCTACACTTGTCTTTTGAGTTTTTATATGTAATGTTTATAAGAGTAAAATAGTGGAAAATCTGAAAAAGTAATATTTCTCTCAGGTCTGTGTTGCCTTAGAACACCCTGCATTAATGGATTTTAAGAAATACCTTTTAAAGTAACAGTCTGTCACAAAACTATTGTAAAACAGTGTCTCAGTCATCAGACAGTGTATTCATAACCTTTTCATGCAATAACTTTATGTGAGGGAGCTTTTAGAGCCATTGAACTCGTCAGATGTCTGGTTCCTATCACCACCACTGTGGACAATTCCAAATCAGAAAGTTTCTCTAGAACCTCACATTTCACATCTAACCCTGAATGACTTTGTTAACCATTTAATTATGCAGAAAATGTGAAAAATCCGTGGAATTCCCCTTTAAAATGACAAAATGAGTCAGAGTGTGGGGAAATAAGTGCTAACTGTTTGTGCCTGTATGTGAATTGGTGTGTGTGTGTTCAGTTGAAGCCTGCAGGTACACCGTGCCGAGAGTCCAGCAACTCATGCGATCTGCCTGAGTTCTGCACAGGCTCTGACCCTCACTGCCCAGCCAACGTTTACCTGCATGATGGCCATGCCTGCCACAGTGTGGATGGACACTGCTACAACGGCATTTGCCAAACGCATGAGCAGCAGTGCATCACACTCTGGGGCCAGGGTGAGTTACAGCACTGCCCGCAGGCCAAAAGGACTATCAAATACTGACAGTGAATCATGCTTCCTGTTGATGGACGGTCTCTAACTAGTTAATACTTCCAGCCGTATGTAAAAGCCTTTTCATTTTTGTAAATCTTTGTGTTTTGCATAAACATTTTATCATTTAAGATAAACCGTAAGTATTATAGCTGTCTCCCCACATTGAGCACAACCTCAGCTAATAGTAAATCTTTATTAATATAGCACTTTGCAGATATGTCACTTTTACAGATGTATGCAAAGTTTGAAGTAAACTCAACTTTTGTGGCAAATTCTTTAAAAAATAGGGCCATTCCAAAAGCTTTAGTTTGCACTTCTTGAAGTAGCTCATGATGGATTTTGAGGTATGTTTTGTATCATTGTCCTGTTGTAGAAGCCAGTCTCTTCTCAGCTTCAGTTTCTTGACTGACTCACATTTGCTTCAAAGATTTACTGATATTTAGTGGAACCCATTCTTCCATTTACTTGTGTAATGTTTCCTATGACACTGGCTGCTACAAACCACCAAAGCATAGCAGATCCACCACCATGCTTAATATTTGGCAAGGTTTTCTTTTCATCAAACACCTTGGGTGATTGTGGCCAAAGAGTTCCATTTTTACTTCATCAGTCCACAACACTTTTTTCCAAAATGTCTCTGACTTATCCAGATTATTCGCACATTGACTTTTGTGATGAGGTCATAGGTCATGTTTCCTTCTGTTGATGCTTCCATGCAGTTCATGTTTTACAAGCAATGCTGTACAGTAAAATAAAGTACCAGATCAGCCAGTTGCTTAGAGGAGGCCATGGTTGTTGTGTTAGCATAAGGTTTGAAGGGTCAGAGATTTATTACACTCTGAAATTGTCATCAGGTAACAGTGCCTAATGACAACGCTTGACCAGCCTAATCAATCCTAACAAGTCATTTAATGCCTAATGAGCTCTCAGAATTTACAACTGGAAAGGGCATTCAATATTATTTTTTTCTATTTTTTAAGCTAATCTAATATAAGGTAGCTGTGTATTAAAATTTACATAGAATTTTTTTTTAATATTTTGCAGAGGTTGTGTTCTCTTCATTTCACTTCAAAAATCAACCAAGTTTGTGATTTGCCTAGAAATCCTTGTCCAAACATTTTCCATACAACTGTATACACTGCAATACATGACAAACAAAAAAACACAAAGCACATACATCTTTACATATTTGATTAAAACAAAGGTTTTGAAAGCCAATAAGATGATAGATATGTTAGATAAATCGGAATTACATACAAAACATGCAATTTGAAACAATGTGCAGGAGGACAAACTCTGTGTTTTCTACAGATTGACACGGTGGTTTGATGTCAGATGAAAATGGTCATTATCTCTAGTTTCACAGCATTACACTCACTCAAAGAATTGAGAAGTGGCAATACTCCAGAAACAGTGTGCAATTTCGTCCCACCAGCAAGACGGATGGTGTGATGGGATTAAACTGAGATGAAGTGTTGAATCGTGATGAACGGGAGACTAATCTGAATGTGAACTCACCATTTCAGAGCAAATGCCATGAACAAGGTTGTGTGAAAAGTTACAAGTTTTCAGGGATATGTTTTATGGGAGAGTTGGACTTCGGTGCTTTTAGAAAGAACTGTTAAATATTGTTTACAATTCAAAAGTTCACACAGATTTCACATTTTTCAGATTTCTTGACAAACATAGAAGAGGGGCTACAAAGAGTAACTCTAAGCTTATGGGTGTCTGGCGGCATGCGTGGTTATGTGTGTGTATATGTGTGTCCTGTAGGTGCAAAGCCAGCTCCAGGCATCTGTTTTGAAAGGGTGAACTCAGCAGGAGATCCATATGGGAATTGTGGAAAAGACTCCAAGGGCTTATTCGCTAAGTGTGAAGAACGGTGAGACCAAGCTTTTTTTCTTTCTTCCTCTCTGTTTAAAAAATAAAAACAACAAAACAAACAAAACAAAATAACAGGGTATATTGAAGAAGAGAAGAAGGGAAGGAGAAAAGACTGATAATGTCTCTTTCTCTGCACTTTCTTTACAAAAGTACTCATTTGCACAAAATCCTGTCTGTTTGGTGATGTGTATGTTCAACTGAGACCTGCAGGTCCATCCCGCAGAGTCAAAAACAAACTGTGTCTAAAAAGGAACCACTGGAAGTGGCACTGCAATTTACATAAACAGGTAGCACTTGTTAAACATTTTTGCTTTAATTGGCAGGTGCTTCACATGCTTCAATGATCGTCTCCTGATTGATGTAATTGCTGTAATTACTGAAGTGGACAGAGAGAGAGAGAGAGAGAGAGAGGGCCAGGGAGAGAAAAACAGTTGATTACTTTTGCATAAAACAAAACCATAGCCGTGCTCTCTCTCTCTCTCTCTCTCTGTGTCAGGAGAGCGTGAGAAACACTCCTCTACGGGCAGTAATTGGTCTGCAATGGCCAGTACGTCTCATTATTTTGCTTAGTTCTTGGCTCCAGAGGAAGAAACGATGTGTGAATACTCATCAGAACGCTCTACCATTAGGCCGTCTGTTTACTTTGTGTTCTGTATTTCCTAAAGTATTTTAATTATTGTACATACTGATTAGCATTATTATAATACATAATTATAATATATAAACTAACAATGAGCCCCACATATTTGTTGAATTTGCATTTATTAAGGGGTTGTCAGGTGTTTACAGTCTTTCTGTCACTCATTATAGTTGCAATAGTTCTGCTCTCCTGGAAGAAACCGGGATTAGAGTACGTAAATTAATTTAACCCTTGTGTGGTGTTGATGTTGTTGTTACTCAGTGGTCTGGTGGACCCATTGCATCATTTTTTTAATCAATACAGCCATAACAGTTTATGTAAAAATACCAGATGTTCAAAATATCACAAGTGGCCAGCGTAGGGTTCTCCTTTAGCAGCTGTAGCCAGTCAGCAGCCTGTCCATGTTGTCCACCCTCAAACACACAAAGACACACACACACACACACACACACACACACACACACATACAAACACATACACACACACACACACACACGGGCGTTTACAGTGTGAAGTCACTGAAAATGTGTTATTTTATGTGTTCTTCACAGAAAATGAGCAAAGGCCAAGGAATCTGGGGTTGAAATAGTAATAAATATCACATCATTTTTTCTTTTGGAAAACATTGAAAATGGGTCCCACAGAACCCAAAACCACACAAGAGTTAATCAGTTTTTTCATACTCCTGCTTTCCAATTTTCTTTATTGTTGTTCTAAATACATTCATGGAAGAGAGGTACCTGCAGAGGGAAGATAGTCCCTACTGTTATATTATTTACAGCTATTATACTATTTTTAACATTACATGGAAAATTAGTATGGTATTTTTAACAATGGTTAGATATAGTTCCCAAAGGGCCATTGCTTTTTTAGATTTTTACTATTATCAACATTACCTATAAGAATTCATAAGACACGTGTAGGTTCACTTGTGGTTTTTGGATGATAAATAAAATACATAATAAATAAAGTATTTGTTTTGCATACATTGCAAGCTCTGGTTCCTATCACCACCACGTTAAAGAAATCTGAGTCGTTATGTTTCTGTACAATAAGCCATTTCACATCAAACCACTCTGAATGACTTTGTTTACATTTCAGCGGCTACATTATGCAGACATTTTGGAAAATTGGTGAAATTCCCCTTTAACTTTTTAATTGACAAAATAAGCTAAACTGCATGTCACTGTGTTGCTTTGCAGAGACGCAAAATGTGGGAAGATACAGTGTCAGGGTGGGGCTAATCGGCCGGTGATTGGCACTAATGCCGTCTCCATAGAGACTAATATCCCCCTGCAGGAGGGTGGCCGGATCCTGTGCCGGGGGACCCACGTGTACCTGGGAGACGACATGCCCGACCCAGGCCTGGTTCTGACTGGGACCAAGTGTGGAGAGAACATGGTGAGAGCACTGTGTGTCCTTATACTGTCTGAGCAACGTTTGGAGACACCTGACTTTTCAAAATGTTCTTAATTCAAATGAGCACATTTCTGTATCAGTTTGCACTAACCATATAGTTTTTACATTTTTCTTTTGCAAAAACTAAAAAAATGAAAGAACAGATGACAAAAGCGCTACTTTGAGAATATCAAAGCCCACACATGTATCCCCTTGTTGTGATGGCCGCACTCACCAGCACTAAAATCTTTCAGCTGTTTAAACCATCTTTGAGCCAAAAGAGTTTCAATGTGTGTTTTTTACAACAGTCTGGAGAAAGAACTGTCAAACCATTATTTTGGTAAAACTGTACTCTTCATATCCAAAGCATTAAAACAATAAGCTCTGTTGTATGTTAACAAAAACCGGTGCCAGTCTTAATTAACCCTTTTATCCCAAATTTTTCCCAGCTATGTGAGTACATGTATTTTACTTCTCAGATGGCCTTGTGATGCAAAATTTATGCCTTTTCAGACATTGTTTGGAAAAGAGTTTGAAAACATGTGGTGCTGCACGTGTCTCAGAGGAAGCACTTCGTAGTCTTGACCCTCCCCTTGGAGCATGTGTGATGGGGAGACCTAACTAGCAGGTGGTTTGGTGATGACTAAATTCAAGAGACAATTATGTAAAAAAAAATGAAAGAAAACGTAACAGAATTATCAATAGTGAAATGTGAGCCACTGTGTTATGTATTACAGCAGCTGTAGCTGTGTTAAAGCGTATTTTACTGACTTCCTTTGGTAAAGTTTTGCTGCAGGCATCATCTTTCTCAGGTGCATGCTTGACATAAATAGCTCTGGTCATGTGACCAATTACACCACACACATAAATGTTCATATAAAATAAAGGCCACCTGTAAGTACATTTAAAGTATACCATTCTATAGAAAACTGTTACACCATCTCTTGCAAACTCAAAACAAAATTAGGCTCACAGTTGTGACTGGTAAGATTAAATGGGTTAATTGAAAAGTAAGCATGACAATCAGAAAGAGTTACTAAGAAAAGTGCTAGTAGAAGTCTCCATATAAAGCTGCTAAAGGCTTTAGTTTATATCAGCACTACTGTTAGGGCTCTATTATTAGAGTTTGATTGTAACTCACTGATTACATAGATAAAATAAGTGGTACATTAAGGCTAGAATTGAACTGTGAGGGTCAGTAGAGCTCCAGAAGGACTCTTGCATCCCTTGGCCACTCCTTATTTAGAAGCCATAAATTTGACTCTTAGTCATGATTTGTATTGTGTTTATCCTAAAAGCTTTAAAATGTTTTCCTGAGATTAGCTTCAATGGAAAGATGCATATCCCCTTCAGCCCAGTGCTCTTTAGGAGCTACAGAAGAGGACACAGGGGGACGATAGGGGTTTTAACGATCCAAAGAAGTTCCAGCTGGCTCAAGTTTATTTATCAGCATGACTTCAGTATGAGGTTATGGTGTGAGTTACCGTAAAAGTCCAGCTCAGGCCATTAGAATTACATTTACAAGTGTGTGAATTATCAGATCCTGTGTCCGCTGAGCTTCTCGGATAGAGTAATTACTGGTGAGTGTGGGAGTTTGTGTCATGTAATGTATGACCTTTAGGCTATGTCTGTATGTGTGTGTTGTCTGTTTGTGTTATATGTATGTGAATGTTTTCAGGCCAGTGTGTGTCTGATGTTTAATGAGGACATGTTAATGCAATCACAGGTTGTGTGTATGTGTGTGACACAGTGAGATGTTAATAAGGGAAAGAATGGCCTCATCATCCTCAACAGTGAGAAGGAACAACAGAAAGTACCCTGACATCACACCATTACTCAGATGTGGTTTTACAGATGTATGTAGGGGTGTGTGCGGGCCTGAAATATTAAACCCGAATACATTCCAAAAACTTTCTGTATGAATTTGGCGTATCCCGAACCACATCATCAAATTTCGAGTCCGAACCCAACCCAAGCCGAACAACGTTTTGTCAGAACCTGACACAAGCCCGACCCAGGCTTGACAAAATCCTGTCCAAACTCAACCCGAACTCTGCACAAGCCCAACAAATTTTGTCCAAATGTGACACAAGCTCTGCACACTTCTGTCCAAATGTGACACAAGCTCTACACACGCCCAACAAAATTCTGGCCAAACCTGACCCAAGCTCTTCACAAGCGCATCAAAATTCTGTCCAAACCCAACAGAAGCTCTACACAAGCCCAACAAATTCTGTCCAAATGTGACACAAGCTCTACACAAGCCCAACAAAATTCTGGCCAAACCCAGTTCAAGCTCTACACAAGCACAACAAATTCTGTCCAACCCTGACCGAAGCTCTACAAAAGCTCATCAAAATTGTGTCCAAACTCGACCCAAGCTCTACACAAGCCCAACAAAATTCATTCCAAACTTGAACTGACCTGAAACACATCATCAAGTTTTGAGTCCAAATCTCAAACAAAAATTTTGTACAAAACTGAACCAAACCAACCCATCACCACCCAAAGTGCTGAATAAAGCCTGACAGAATAGCAGTATTTAAATTAGTTAAAGAACAGCTGTAATTTTCATGTAATTGCAGCTGGGAAAAAGTGGGATAACAAAATCCAAACCTCATCTGAGCCCAACACATATTTGAGAAATGATCTACAAACCTGACTGAACATGACCAAACCCGATTTGATTAATTTGGACCCATCAGGTTCGGGCAGATATTTCAGACTCTAGTGTGTGTATGTATGTCTGTCTGGCCTGTTGCCTCTCAGGTTCTCTATCACTTATTTTCTCCAGGACAAGACATAGTTAATTGACCTGCCTGCTCTTCCCACACATTTCTTCTTTCATGGTAACTGTTACAAGGAAATAAATCCCATTTAAGCTAAAGAGGGACTGATCTTTATAATCTTTGTTTAGAGTTGCTACATAACAACTTTCTGTTTAAAATGCTGCTCTACTGAACTGGACTATGTTATTGTAGCTAATGAAAACTTACAAGGCTAGTGTTAACTCTACACCTGCTTTATTTTAATAGAGTAACTTCACATGCACACAAAATAAATATTATTTGAAATGAATAATGCTTTTTAAATGTAGATATTTTTGACTGTGCTGTGTGCTACTGTTGCTCAATAGCTTGTGGGTAAGGTATGGATAGGTCAGTTGTAAGTCAGTTGTCCCAGCCTTCTGCTCTCTCGAACACCATTGCACTGTGATTACTCAGCGTTTGGATGATTATATGGCAGCTTGTTCCTAAATCTCATTATATTTGGGTGGAGTGGACTGGGGACAGATTTCTGACCACAGCTGTAATTGGACATGGAAGAACAGTCTGTGTAGAACGAGTGTCCTGTTCAGTTTAAAAGAAAAGGCTTGATGTGGTCAGAGTTAACTCTGCATTTGTTAGAAGTGGGTAGCTACACACTCACTCTCTCACTCTCTCTCTATCACCCACTCAATCACACACTCACTCTCTCTGTCTTTTTATGTGCACCTACTGAGCCATTTTCTCTCTCTCTTCATTACATGGATTCAACAATGTGCTGGAAACATTGCCTAGAGATTCTAGTGTATGTTCACATGATTGCATCACGTTATTGCTGCAGATTTGTCGGCTGGACATTCATGCTGTGAAATCTCCTGTTCTACCACATCCCAGAGGTTCAATACTGGGTTCAGACCTGGTGACTGGAGAGGCCATTGAAGTATTCTAAACTCATTGTGATGCTAATGGAGCCAGTTTGAGATGACTTGTGCTTTGAGGCAAAGTGCAATATCATGCTGAAAGCAGCCATTAGACGATGGATCAATTGTGACTTTTGAAGGGATATATATACCGATGCTCAGTTGGTATTAGGAGACCCACTGTGTGCTGAGAAAACATTCCCCCACACCATTACCCCACCACCACCAGCTTGAACTGTTGACACAAGGCAGGTTGGATCCATGGATTCTTTGTGTTTACACCAAATTCTGCTGAGATTCATCAAACAAAGTGATGTTTTCTTCACCTGTTTTGTTTCACTGAGCTTGAGCCCGCTGTAGCCTCAGATTCCTGTTCTTGGCTGACAGGAGTGGAACCCAATATGGTCCCATCTGCCTCAAAATTAATGTGTTGTACTTTCAGAGATGCTTTTCTGATCACCATTGTTGTAAACAGTGGATAATCAAGTTACTGCAGCCATCCTGTCAGCTTAAACAAGATTCACCATTCTCCTCTGGCCACAAAGAAAGTGTTTCCACACACATTCCGGAGCCCATGTGTCAAACAGTCCTTTTTGGCCCGCAAAAGTAATTTAATTTTCTAGTCATATTAGCCCATTTCACCCTGAGATGCACTACAGTCCCCAGCATGCATTGCAACATTGTGTGCATTCTGACCCCCTCCACCAACAACAATTTATGGGCCATTGCATTGGATCCAGTGACATATGTATATAAACTATATGTATTAATTTACCATCTCTCTCTGTCTCTCTCTCTCTGTCTCGCTCTCTCTTTCTCTTTCTCTCTCTATTTCCCTTTCTCTCTTTCTCTCTCGCTCTGTCTCTCTCTCTCACTCTCTGTCCCCATAGATGTGTCTGAACCGGCAGTGTCAGAACATCAGTGTGTTCGGGGTCCACGAGTGTTCAGCAAAGTGCAGTGGACGAGGGGTAAGATGCCTATTTAAAAAACTCTGCTCCACAAACATGCTGATTTCCCCTTTACATGGTGTCATTTATTGCAAATTTCCAGTCCAGGTGCTGGCCAATCACAGTCCTGAACAGTTTAGTGTTCATCCTGCTCTAACACACCTGACTCTTCTCATTAACCTGAAGAGAGTTAAAGCTTTGTATTTTCAGGTTCTCAGTCCAGTCCTTAAAGGTCCCAGTCAGGCCGTACTTTTGTTCTGTCCTGATGACTAAATTCCAAAAATAAGTTTGAAAATGTTTTAAAAATAATACATACAACCCTAGTTAGAGCTGCATATATCATGAATACAAAAATAGAAAATGCATTAGGACGTATGAGGCTGAAATTTTAGCTGCATTATTAATCAAATCTGGACTTCTTAGGTATGCATGGTAGTGTTACTGCTAGACATTAGAAAATGCCTATTAAAGTTTTATAATATAGTGGACTTTTATTCAAGTAGTCTATTCAGTGTCCTACTGCTGAGAGTGTCTCACTCGCTGCTCTCTCTCTCTATCTCTTTCTGTCTCCTTTCTTTCTCTCTCTTCCTCTCTCTCTCTCTCTCTCTCTCTCTCTCAGACTCTGTCATTCTCTCTATTTTTCTTTCTCTCTATTCTCTCTCCTTTTCTTGGTCTCTTTCGGTCTATCTCTCTATCTATTTCCTTCTCTAACTCTTTCTGTGCTCACTCTTTTTGTTTTTCTGTCTCCTGCATTCTATATCCATGTCTCTCTCCCTCTCTCTCTCTTTTCCACCGAGCCTATAGTTCTATAATATAGTCCCCATGTGTGAGTTGCCTCTCTAATGCAACAGTACCCTGCTATCAATCTCCCAGCCTTCTCAACACCTCAATCAATTCACGGTAATAGCTTCATTCTGGTCCGTCTTAAAGAGCCATTCATCTTAGTCTGAGTGCGAGCCAGTTGTCCTTGTGTGGCCACGAAGCTGAAATGTATGGGTGGGCTTGGCTTGGTGGGAGAAAAGCCAGTCGGTCTGTGTGTGTTTCATCAGTGGGACAGGCAGGTTTGAAATGTGTAGATTGGAAGAGGCACTTCAGAAATTAGAGCACTGCTCTCGTCACAGCTGTGCGCTCCGTCCTAGTGAAGGTGATGATTTCTGAAAGCGGCGTAAGCGCTGATGCAGGATTCCTTCAATATTTTCCCATAGCGTGAAACAAGACCTGCCTCTGCAGTGTGAAATTGGAAATGTGGAAATTATGTTATGCTCCTCGTTCCCAAACAAACACTGAAAAATCTCTCTAATTTGTTTCTCCGTCACATATCAGCTGTCACTGACTTCTCCAAAATGTATCCCACAGTGATGTGTTGATGGTATAACACCAAGCTTCTTAGATCTGTGTTCGTTTTGTAGGTTCACAAAGTGAATCTACAATGATTGAATGAAACCGGTGCTGAAAACTCTCAGTGCATACATGATACATATGCAACACACTGCTTTTCTTTAATACGGTTCCTTTATTATAGGTGCTTTGTTACAAAGAATAAACCAGCCCCACCCATATAGGGGATGATAATGTCACTGTCCAAAAAAAAACAACAGCATATATTTCAAGCGTCTTTGAGTTCTTGAAAAGCGCTATGTAAGTATAGTGTGTTATTATTATTATTATTATTATTATTATTTCCATTTTTCCCATTTTTATTTTTCTACATTATTTGAACACAGCTGCTATCTTTTTCATTATGTGCAACTTTGATGATAAATAGACCAATAGAAATGCTCTGGAATTACTTGTAATTAAATCTCATCACATTAACCTACACTACAAGTAAAGCACAGTTTTGCCGTCTCCTGTAGATTTACTAATGTGTAGATACTTGTTTTTTTTTTTGGACAGCAACAATAAGTACTGAACTGTCCACGTTTCGCCCACAAAGGTTGGATAATGTTTACAGATGTTTGGCAAAAGTCAAACAAAAAGTCAAACAGTCAAAAGAATTGTAATGATCATCTCAGGTTATATCAAAATATGTAAATTTGGAATGTATTGTTAATGTTAGATGTTATTTATTATGTTTGTGTGTGAATGGTCACACTATAAAAATAGTTGGTTATATTCACATTCCAACCTGCCTAGTTTCAATAAGCCACAACAACACAGTAGTCGAGCATTTTAATCTGGACACTTTGTTATATAGCCTCTCTAAACAAACATTGTAGCAGTCAGTTTGACTAATTTACGCATATTAACAAAAGCTGATTTGTGCACTACAGTTTCTCATTAGGTTGAGTAGGATTTTACTGCTCAATATATTGACCACAAGCCATATATTAGCATATACTGAAATATTCCAAAACTGTTAAATACGTTTAGCACATATATTTTAAAACACTGCATATATTGTGCATTTTTAATATGAGCAAATATATGTACATGTACTTTTCTTCCATATGTGCTCTCCTCCTCAGTGGATGATGTGCAAGCGTATTCATCCGTCAGAAAAATATGCCTCGTTAGCAAAAAAGCCACTGCCTTTGCTTTTTCAGTTACATCCTTTATGACACATCCTTGGCAACGTATTCACATTAAGGCACTCATGTTTCATAGTAGCAAAGTATTATATACATACTTACTTGTGAATGCAATCAAAACAGTCACGTTTTACAGTCCATTTTTAAAACATCAGATCTACTTTTTACTGGATTGTTGGCCAGCCGGGTTTCTACATCTTTCTGTGAATGTAACTTCTACCTGAATAGTGATGTCAGTACTCAAATACTGACACCTTGAATGATTAACAAAGCACTTGAGTATCAGTGTGCCTGGTGTCAAAATCAATTGTACTGTTTAAAAGCAGGAGTGCACTGGTTCTTAGCTATAGCAAAAAAAGCTGGCAGACGTTGGAAACCACAGTGGTGGATGATTAACATTTTCAGTCATGAAGAAAAACTGCTGTACAGATCAAGAACACTATCCAGGATGTAGGAATAAATGACTGAAATGTTACCCTAAATACTAACTACTGGCCATTCTGACATTCAGCACTTTGAGCTCATAGTCAGTGTTTCATTCCAAACCCAGTGCTCAGAGCCAAAACTATAACAAAAAAATCTGAACATAAATTTTAAGGAACTGTTCATGTTGTCCCTGCGATGGACTGACAACCTGTCCCGGGTGCTTCCTGCCTTCCGCCCAGTGACCACTTAGGATAGGCCCCAGCACCCCCTGTGACCCGAGAGGATACGTGGCTTAAATAAAGTGTGTGTGTGCGTGTGTGTGTATCCCTGTTGTACGCTTGGATGTATACTAAGGTAGACAACTGATGGAAAGAGGAAGAGAGAGAGAATGATAGAGAGAGGTTCCATGAATTAACTCTCCAGATCAAGATCTTGTTTTGCAGTGGTGCACATCTGCTTCCTATCACTTTCTGGAGAGGGAGAGAGAGAGAGAGAGAGAGAGAGAGAGAGAGAGAGGGGGGAAAGTTGTTAAAATTTTGTGCCAAGTAAAAACAGGGACACTGTACAGTGTGTGGGTGATGTGGAGGAAGTCCACTTTTGGAGCTACAGAATGAACACATGGGTCATTGAACCCATCTAGAGGTGACTGAAGCTGTTTGGAAAGTCCTATATTTGAACTTGTTAACACTATGAAGGACAGATGTTACACATGAGCAACATTATGTGGTCATACTACAGTTTAAACTTTAGTATATCTAACTACTGTCAAACTACAGACTGCTTTTAGTCCTAGCTTAAATGTGGACCCTAAAGGTTTTTTTTAGTAATATAAGGATGTTTGGGTTTGTTATCAAACGATGTACAATATTCAGGGGACGACCAGTGTTTTCTCTCTGAATTCTCTGAAGGAGAGGAATCGAGCGTTACATTTAACTCCAACTTTGCTTTCATTTTCTGACATATGGGATTTGGTTTCGAGCTGACAACCCAGTCTCTAACCTTTTATCCTTCATTTCCAGGTAATCAGCACACAGGATCTAACAATTATCAAACTTCAAACTTGTATGTAAAGTAAGGTTAGGGTACTGCTCAGACTCCATGCACTCCTACACTCTAATCAGTCTTCCTCTCTAAGAGGGGGGAAAGGTCTTTCCAAATGAAAGTTTGCCGTTTCCAATAAATCACGTCTGTCCAAGCATAATTCGAAATACAGTGACGCTGGACTCAGAGGCTGAGCTCTGGCAGGAACATTCTTTATTCATGTCTGCTACCAGTCAGATTTTCTTTCCCTGTCTTACTGCTGTTGAGGTTGTCTTGTTCATTTTTATTCAGTGTCTTTGTTTTGCTGTGATCTGTTGTTATTATATTTCTGCTTATATGAACTTGGGTATGAAAAAGGTGCTATAAGAATGAAAAGTATTGTAGTGTTGTTGTTGTTGTTGTAAGAGTCGCAAATAAGGAGATGATTCTAAAAGCTATTTCATTTAAGAATGTATTTAGTGTGTGTTTATGTAATTGTTCTGTTCTGTGCATGCATTACTTAACTGAGGTAATGGTATAGACCAATTATAGCTCCCCCCAATGTTACATGCCTTGGTTTGTTCCATTTCTGTTCTGTTGTTATCGGGCGTTCAAGAAAAGTTGTTTATGTAAAGTTTATGTAAAATGTGAACTGATTTTACTCACCTGTTTTTAAAGTCCCAGGAAACACAATGTAAATATTAAAATTGAGTGTTATTAAACACCTGGTAAAGTTTGAATGATGAAAACAACAGAAATAATCCCTTATGAGACCTGAGAACTGTCTGAACGTGGCCTAATATTCTGATTAGCAAGCATGATTGACAGCTCTCAGTTCAACGTTCCCAGCCTGCTGTGCCACTGAAGCAGAACTAAACATAGCACTAGCAAAGCAAGGAAACATGAGCGAAACATTTTTAAAAAGGTCCTGTATAGAACCGTCTACAACACATTCTCCATTAAACTGAAGAGCCCTTTCATGATGTAAAGAAACCTTCAATCATGCAAAGGATCTATATAGAACCATTTTCTTTACTAAAGAACCCTTGAAGAACCATCATTTTTAAAAGTGTAGTAGTAGTATTAAGTAGTAGTGTTATTCAGTGCCTCATATCCAGACATGTAACTCTGATTCACTCTGATTTAACAGTGTGTGTGTATTGTGTTACCTGTTCAGGTGTGTAATAATAAGAAGAACTGCCACTGTGAGGCGCACTGGGCTCCTCCGTTCTGTGATAAAGCTGGGTTTGGAGGCAGTGTGGACAGTGGGCCTATGAGACTGGCAGGTATAGCAGTGATGCATCACATGTAATGAAATTCAAATCAATTAAGTCAGTAACTGTAATGTAATTGCAAGAATTTAAACTGTAATGTGTTACACTATTTTATTACAGGAAAAACTAATCACATTACTTTGTATCGCATTACCCTCAACACTGTTAGTGTTTTTGTATATTTTTGCTTGTGTACATAAATGTGCAATGTGGATGATTGTTGTATTTGGTGTTTGATTTTGAGATCAGTGTGTGTGTGTGTGATCTAATTACTGCTGCATTTCCCATATACAGACAGTGAGAGTGTAAAGGTGGGCATTGTGGTGGCGTTCCTGTGCCTGCTGTGTGTGGGGATGATTGTCTGCATTAAGAGGAAGACTCTGGCTGGTCTCTTCATCAGCAACAAGAAAAACACCATTGAAAAGCTCAGGTAAAAAAAGCGATCACCAATAGGAAAAACACCATTAAGAAGCTCAAAAAACAAAGTCAGTAAGATTTCAGGCCTTTCTGCCTGCATGAAGACAAACAGCCCCCTAAACCAGAGGTCACCAATCTTATCCGCAAAGGGCCAGCGTGGCTGCATGTTTTCATTCCAATCAAGCAGGAACATACCGCATATAACTCATCAGTTCTAATATCATTAACTAAATAATAAGTTTAAATTTTAACAGGTTAATGGTGGTGATTGGATGTTTATGTAATAAAACATTAATAACCATGTAATAAGCTATGAATAAGCTTTTTCAACTACAGGACCTTGAGTCATATTGTTTGTCTGTATTTTGCTGCAGGTCAGTGGGACCCAATGGGCCAAACAGTCCTGGGCACACATTCTCAACAAGCCAAACACATGCTGGGACACACACACACTCTGCATGCAGGGCGTCTCCTCAGTGCCAAGCACCAGCCATATCACAAAGTGCCAGTATATACAAGGTATGTGTTTGTATGTGTCTCTTTGTGTCTGATTTTGTGTAAATGAATCTTCTTTTCATTGTGTGTTTCTCTTTTCAGCTCATATAATCAATCAACTCACACAATCAATCATGTCAAACATGCATGCACACACACGTACACACACACTCATACACGCACTGCCAAACAAGCCATTCTAATATTGTAATGCTCATTGTCTCTGTTGAATGCCAATGACAGTCGCCTGTAGTGCACTGTTGCCTGAAGGCAGCTTTCTGCATAAAAACCAGACAGTGGACAAACAACGTCAAAAAGAAGTCCAGTTTCATCTCAATCACCTGCTGAATGCAAAACCTTTGAAGCATGTGGACAACACACACACACAAACTTGTCCATATTTGTTGTCCAGGCTTGTTAGTAATAATGATGGATCCACCTCACTGACCTCCTGAGAATGTTGATGAACAGTGTGTGTATGTGTGTTGTAGTGGCTGTCACAGAAAGCTGTTAGAGCATCATAATAAGAGCAAACAGCAGCTCTGCCTTGCTTGAAGCATTGGTATAGCTCCATACCTGCACAGGCCAAATCCTACATTTTCTTTACATTTTATTTTTCCCTTGTGGTCCACTTACAACAATTGTGTGAATTTTTATATTTAAATGTAACTATATTTAAATTACCTCCATTCTGATTGACTGCTCTATGTTGTGTCTAATTCATGAACCAATCCAAGCTGAAAAACTCCTTATAACCTCAGCATTAATGGACAGGACTAAACTGCTGTAGGCTAAACATCACAAAAGCAGTGGATTCAAAATGGCATGTTTTTGCTGTTTAGTTTCCATATAAGGACAGTATGGACTGAAGATTGAATGGGCCTTTAACAGTGTTTACATAGTACACCAAAGTCTTTTATTTCAGAAGATCTCTAAATGTTCCTTCCTTCACCAAGCAAAAGAAAATACTTAAGCAAATCTCCTCAGAACGATGGTGGTAGTAAATTAGAAAGAATTATTAGACTAAGAAATGGTGGAAAGGTGTTGCTGAGGAACATATAATTCCTGATCCTCACTGTCCTGATCGTCTGGAGGGTGGTGGTGTTTTCATTCATTCCTGAAGCTGAAAAAGTTTTTGATTGAACGCTGTGGAAGTTCGCATTACAGTTCAATGACTATATGATCAATAAGCAGATTTATCCTCGCTCTAAGGTAGCTAAACTCAGTCTGGGTTACTGTATTAGCTAAAAATAACTAATATCAGGTCTAATGACAAATAACATTACAGAACAATGTTAAGCTTTTCTTAACTTAACTGCTGACAGCTTGATAAATCAGTCGGATGAAACAGGACTATTCAGCGCTCACATTTGTGATTGAAACTCTGTGTATAAAGGTCAATATTAATGCACTCATATTGTTTTATTAAAATGTGCTGATAGACTTCATGTAAAAGATGATGAGTCCTTCTCAGCATCTAACATTGTTCTGACTAGCTCCAGTGATAGCATTAGCTCATAGCCAGGTTTGAGTAGGAACAGAATACATGTAATGATGTTGTGTGACGAGGGTACAAAAATAAGGCATCTGTATTTAGTTAGATTTATAGGAAAATGTCAGTCATCAGATTACAGGTACAAAATAAGGTGATTACCAGCAGGATTACATTGAAGGTGCACAAAAGTGAACGTCACCTTTGCGTCGAAATGTTCTATTTAGAATGATAAGTAAGTCTCCTGAGTCATGTAGATTTGAAGAGTTTTCATTTTGGGAAGAAGGCAGGGCTGCTGGCTGCAGAGAAACTATGAAGAACAAGCCCCTCCACAAGCAGCTGTTTACTGACTTTTATTTGGCCAGTCTATAAAATTTTTTGTATTTTATTCTTATTGGCAGAACTAAGATCTGCTGCATTTGCTCAGGGATGAAAAGTCAGGGAGTAAAGGAGAGCAATCAGATACATTAATATACACTGTTAGGAATAAAGGTTCCGTGCAGGTACATTTTTCGTTCATCAAGGTACAAACAATTTAAATGTTCCCTCAAAGGTACAACAGTGGCTTTAAGGTCCAATTGTGCACCTTAAATAAGTTTTTTTTTTTCTCAGGTGAAAAGTACATAATTGCGCCGTTTCATAACCTAATGGTTTTAAATAGAACAATAAAATAAAAGCCTGGAGACGAGACGGGGTGTGTGGAGTCAATTTAGGAAATATAATTTCAATGGATTATGGTACAATTATGTTTCCTGACTAAAGGTACTGTGATATACCCCTGAGGGTACCACCCCAGTGACGCGAGGGGTCCTGCCCCAGTGACAGTTTTGTACCATTATTTCTGAGAGTGTAGTAAACCTTTGGATTAGGTTAGAGATGATGGTTTTTAACAGGTAATCAGTAATCTGTATATATTTTAAAGTAACCCAATTCTGCTCATACCATGTAAAGGTATTAAACTATCACTGGGGCAGTGCTCCTCTTGTCACTGGGGTGGTTTCCTCAAGGGTACATCTCAGTACCTTTAGTCAGGGAACATAATTGTACCATAATCCATTGAAATTATATTTTCTAAGTTGTATTGACTCCACGCACCCCGTCTCATCTCCAGGCTTTTTATTTTATTGCTCTGTTTTAAAACATTTGGTTATGAAAAGGTACAAATATGTACTTTTTACCTGGGAAAAAGTTATTCAAGGTTCACAGTTGGACCTTAAACCCACTGTTGTACCTTTGAGGGAACATTTACATTGTTTGTACCTTGATGAACAAAAAATGTACCTGCACAGCACCTTTATTTCTAACAGTGTAGCGTCCATCGCTTAAACCTGCTCCTGATTAGACATGCACACTTACCGCATTAATGTCAAGTGACTAAAAGATTTCCATGGATTTATTAAAGTACACATTGTCCAGAATCCTTCGTTTATTGCTAAATTGGCTCACAAACGTGTATATCTGTACTGAACATCTTGTAAAGTCAGTTTGTCTTTTAATTGAAATATGTGTATAAAACAGTTCTCTGTGTGCTTCTATGTTTTCCTTTGCTATACTGAACTTTTAAGTCTGTTAGTACACGTGTTACCAAGCTACCAGGTGGCTTGATGGACGTAGCAACAGTAAGTAAGGGAGGCTGGACTGCTCCGAATTTTGCTAACGATAAATTAAGTGCAGAGACATTTAGGGACTGAAGGAAAGGTTAGTTGGTCTCAGTGCAGATGCAGGTTGTAGAGCATTAGTGGAGCTGTGTGTTTTCTGTTAGTCATGGCTGCTGCAGCTGTTTCTCATTGTATGTGTTGGTAAGAACAGAGAGGATGTAGGTCCGTTTGATGTCAGCCAAGCGCAGGTGAGGTCATAATCCAGACGGACTACACACACTCTCTCACTCTCTCTCTCTCCCTCACACACACACACACCCTTGTGCTACTCCTCATCAATTCTTGTCTTGTCAGTTCTTGTCATCCTGCCTCAGTTTGACTCAGTCTGGGTGAGTTTCAGAAAAGCATTGTTGCTTTATAAGTGCACAGTAAACTCTGTCTAAAGATCGTTTGTCAAAGTGTGAGTGTTACATAAACCCCTTTGAACCTCATAGTATATTATCTGTGTCTTTATTTAATGAGCCAGATGACTCAATCGTTAATCTTGAACTGCTTGGTAAATTGGCCGTGGTCTGGTCTACTCTTGATGACATACAGGGGCCCTATATTAATTTAAAGCACCCAAACCCTAGTTATGACCACATTTTTGTGTGTTGAAATATACAGTCAGGTTCACACATATTTGGACGCTGACAAAGTTATTGGTATTTTAGCTGTCTAGCTCAGCGTGTTGGAGTTAAAATTGAATAATAAATATGAGCTCAATGTGCAGACTTTCAGCTTTAATTTAAGGGTATTTATGGTGTAGGAATTGCAACTACTTTCATACGTAGCCTCCCATTTTTAGGGGCTCAAAAGTAATCGGGAAGTTGGCTCAGCTGTTCCATGACCAGGTGTGTGTTATTATTCCTCATACAAGTAAGCAGATAAAAGGCCTACAGTTGATTTCAAGAGTGGCATTTGCATTTGAAATCTGTAGCTGTTAACTCTCAATATGAAAAATTAGTCCAAAGAGCTGTAACTGCCAGTGAAGCAAGTCATCATTAAACTGAAAAATCAAAACAAACCCCTCAGAGAAACAGCAAAAACATTAGGTGTGGCCAAATCAACCATTTGGTACGTTGTTAAAAATACAGAATCCACTGGTGAGCTCAGAAACCTCAAAAAGCCTGGAAGCAACTGTGCTGGATGACAGAATAATTCTTTTCCTGGTGAAGAAAAAATGCTTCATAATAGTTGAGCAGATCAAGAACATCCTCCAGGGGGTAGGCATTTCTGTGTCAACGTCAACAATCAAAAGAAGACTTCACCAGAGTCAATACAGTGGGTTTACCACAAGATATAAACCATTGTTAAGTATCAAAACCAGGAGGACCAGATTTGAGTTGATGTTGATGAGACATGATCAACTTGTATCAGAATGACAGGAAGAGAAGAGAAGGGAAGGAACTGCTCGTGATCTGAAGTACACCACCTCATCTGCCAGGCATGGTGGAGGTAGTGTTATGGCGTGGGCAGGTATGGCTGCCAGTGGAACTGGTTCGCTTGTATTTATTGATGATGTGACTACTAATAAAAGATTTCTGAAGTGTATTATCTGCTCAGGTTCAGCCAAATGCTGCAAAAACTGTTGAACCACATTTCACAGTGCAGATGGACAATGACCTGAAGCATAGAGTGAAAGCGACCCACGACTTTTTTAAGACAAAGAAGTAGAATATTCTGTAATGGCCAGGTCACTCAACTGACCTCAGCCCGATCCAGCATTCATTCCACTTACTGAAGGCAAAATTGAAGGTAAAACACCCCAAGAACAAGCAGGTACTGAAGACAGCTACAGTAAAGGCCTTTCAGAGCATCACCAGGGAACAAACCCAGTGCCTTTTGATGTCTATGGGTTCCAGACTTCAGATGGACTGCAAATGATTTGCAACCAAGTATTAAAAGTGACAGTTTCATTTATTATTGCTAGTTTGTCCAATTACTATGGAGCCCCTAAAAATGGGGAGCTTTGTATGAAAATGGTTGTAATTTCTACATCGTTCACCTGATTTGGATATACATACCCTTGAATTAAAGCTTGAAGTCTATTCATTATTTAATTTTAACTCCAATGAAACAACAACTAAAATAAACAACACATTTGTTCTCATTAAAGTTGTTATTTTCCTTGTCAAAATATTTATGGACCTCATTGTAAATATTGGTAACCTCAAAAATTTACGCTCCCTTCTCTCTTCTTCTTTTCTCTTTTTCTGTCTGTCTGTCTGTCTCTCTCTCTCTCTTTCTCTGTCTCTCTGCAGCCTCAGCCTCCTCTGCCAGGAGTGGATTCTCTGGTTGGTTCTCTCTCTTTGCGGAGGCTGCCTCAGTGTCCTCCTCTCCACCTGACCCACCCTCTGCCCTTCACACTGACTCCTTCTCCCCCTGCCCCGCCTCCGCATCGTGCCCCCCCACCTCCCCTACCACACTCACACTCACATACACACACACATGCATACACACACTCACCCAGCCACAGAGTCCCCCAAGCACACCCCCACACACATACACACTCTCACACTCACTCCCCACCTCGAGGAGCCCCCCTCCGCAACCTGAGCTGCCAGAACACCTGCAGGATGGCCATGGTCAGTACATAGAGCACATCTTTTGTTTAAAAAAAAAGGAGTCAAATAGTTTTCATGTGATTATTTAGGTTAATGTGTGAGCTGCTATACCTGCTTCATTAATGCGTAGCTCAATGGAAAATACCCAGAACACTAATACAAGACAGTAATGATAGTGTTATAGCTTGTTATATTGTGTTATTATTATATCAATGTTATATATTACTGGTGTTTTTTTAATTTCCTTGTATGTATCTGCAAAGGTGAGGACGTTTCAGTGCAGAGTTATAAATGTTCTTTAACTTGTAGAAGTCAGAGTTATCAAAAAAAGCCAACTAGTCACATTTTATCGATACCAGATTTCTGTTAGCAAGTAGAAAAGGTAATATTTTATTATAATTTGGATATGACGAAACTTTTTTTGCAACATTTTTATGATTTCTTGCCATCGGAAAATACAGAAAAAGTCAGAAATGCAGACTTAAACCTGCCTATGCTGAATGTATCCAAATGCATTATGTACCTATGTGCTTAACTATAATACTAATAATATAATAATACATTTAATTATTAATTATTATTTCAGTACAATACAGTAAACGATATATCAAAAGGTCATTTAGATTTTATCTAATATTTCAGGTTTTTGGAAAAAAACAAGAAGTTATTAAATTATAATATACTGTGATTATTTATCTACAGTCATTTCTGATAAGTTATCTGCTTTAAGATTTGATCACCACATTTCAAATACAGTGCATTCTCAATGTTAATGTTACAGATTCCTACAAATGAGATGCAGCATCTTAGTAGAAGCATTTATACAAATACCTGCAACACAGTAGGGTGTATATTATGGAATAAAAGAAATCTGTCTTTTTCTTTACATCATAGTATTATAACAAAACAACAAGAGCATTAGACTTCTACGGATTAAATGTCTTTTGCATTTTTGTTTGTGTATGTGTCCCAAACACACCCTGTCTGAGGGAGATTGCAGCATTTTTCACTCTTCTCCCAGTGCACTTTCAGAGCTGTAATAGAGTGAGGCTTTCTGGGGAAGAGTGTTTTTATTGTTCTCTGTTGTCTTGTGTAATGTGTGCAGCGCTGTGGTGTGAACGGGGCAGACCTCTGAGCTTTATAAAGGAGACTGTGTGTGTTGACAGTTACTGTAAGTCCAGTAAAAACACACCCTGAGCACAGGAGTCAGGAGAGAGAACCTTGTATTTCTATGCGTGATATAGGGACGCTATGGACAGTCCAGCAGAACAGCAGCTGAGAGCTTGTTCGCAGGAATGGAAAGGGTGTGAGAATACAATCACCACCTGGTCATGAGAGGAAAACAACAACACTGTAGCCTGCATATCACATTCCAGAAGAAGTATAGATGGTCATAGCACTGGTAGAAATGTGAGGAAAGAAATCACATCATGTAATTCCTTGAAAGCTGTTCTGTATTTGGTAAATAATTCCAAAGATAATAATGATTCTGAAATTATATGTCATGTAATTTGTGATTAACAGTTTAAAAATATATTTCTAAAACTTTCTGATAAAAACATTTTTAAGAAAAGATGCTATACTTAAAATCTTAAATATATTTTAATTACTTGTCCTGCTATGCTTAGAAAGCTGACAAAATAAGCCTCCAAAACTGTAACTTCTGCTGATGGTTAAGACTAGAGGTCTTAAAATCTGGGCCTTGAATTCAGTTTCTAGTCCTGTATTTTGTAATCACTCGTCTTTAAATGACCAGTTGATATAACTGAATGGCCACCTAATGCCATACCTACCAGGGACTGCAAAATCCAGGACTGGGTACTGGACTCAAGGTTTGGATATGAAGCCCTTTAGTTTGGACCCTGCAATCTGAAACTTCAGACTTTAAGATAATTTGTAGGTATTTTCTTTGGAAAGCTGTTGTGAATCTGGCCTCAGGTTAATTGTTTGGAAATATCTGAAAGAAATTTGTAGCGTATAACCTGCTTATGTAAATTACAGTAACCTTTGACTCTAAGCTCTGATTTTGTTTCATTATTTTGCGGTTGAATCTATAGAAGTCTGGCTGACCCCTCGGTGGAGAGGTCAGCCTCCTTCTTCATGTATCAGGCTAATCAACACGATCTCAAAGGGCCAAAACAAAGCAAATGAGCACAATGTGCACTCCTCTGAGCCTATTGACTCCACCTCACATGCAGACTTTAAAAACGATCCCATACACAGTGCTATTAAATAACGCAGTAAGCAAACAGAGAGCTGCCGCTGCGGGCCTGGAGAGCACAGCCACAGAAAGCATTAGAGAAAAAGCACTAGAGAGGCAGTGCCAGGGGCAGCCCCAGAGGAAATAAAGCAGCCTGTCTGACGGATTGCGGTTACTTCAGCAGTCTCATGGTGCAGGAGTGCTTCTGGGTCTGCCGCAATGTTCATTTGTGCACACACACACCATGAGCTGCCTGCTGCTCAGTCTCTCTGCTCATTTATTTATTCACTCATTTATTTATTCATCCATACCTCTGTTTCACACAAGGCCTGAGTGCATAACGATTCATAAACAACAGTAGTACATGCATTACAATTAAGATTAATTAAAAAAATAACAATAAACAAATATGAATACAAAATGAAATAGGCTTAAATAAGTAATATTAAAGCATGAACACAATACGTGATCATTAATTAAAAATAGGTAAACATGAGAATATACATATATTCATGCTACCTCGTCTAACCTCGTCTTACTCATTGTGTACTTATGAGTCGCAAGTGGTTCCTAAGTTTGAGTTGGCAGTAACAATAACAGGATAAACAGCCTATTCTATAGCTAATAGCTATGCTAGCATACATACAGAACTTCAGTATTTGTTTAATACTGAACTATTAAACAAAAACAGGCACAAGACATTGCGCCTAAATCCTTAAGTGCTCATAAATATCAAACATCCCCAAAAGCTGAGCCTGAATACAGCATATAGTTGTTTAAAAAAGGTACATCGGTTTATTTTTACATAGTTTTGAGAATGACCTTTCCATAAAATGAGGCAACAATGGCTAGCACAGGCAGCTACAGCAGCGCCAGTTAGCCAAGTAGCTAAACTAGCAGCTTACTTTATTACCGTATATGTGTATAAACAAAGCATCCATTTTTTTAGTGTTGGCTAGTCAAAAAATCTTACATCTAAAGCAGATTGTAAAGAGAAGCAGAGAACGTATTTCTATCTTTTACCGTTCAAAGTAAACATATTGCTTCGTTCAGAATGGCTGAGTTGCTAAACGCCTGTCAGATGTGAGAATATTCCTATACATTTAAATACCTAATCCAAGCCAAAATAGATTGTTGTTTTATTTATGGTCAGCACTGGCATGCTCTTACATGTGTTTGCTAGCTGTCACGTGTAACCAACTGGCCTAAAACTGGCAGTAACCTTATACATTCGAATGCACATTTTTTCAATGAATTTGACAGATATTCAAATTTCACATTTTATTTTGAAAGCTGTATTGCACACTGTGTGTATCTGACACCATAGAACATAAAATATCACAGCTTGTTTTATAACCGGAGTAACACAGCATGGCCAGCTCACTAATAAGTGAGCATATTTGCAAGCATCACCGTGTGTTGACTGAATTGTAGAGACACGCTGTATGTTGCAGGAGGGCAAATTAGCAGACAGATTTGTTAAATGGATTGACCTTTGGTGATTTGTATGCTGTTTGTATGATTTGATCTGTAAATGTGGCTCTCCTGTTGATCAGGACCACTGGCCTGACCTCTACTGAGAGGTTACTAGCCTTCCCCTTCAGCTTCTACAGTGCATTAGCTGTACTCTCTGATGAAACCCGGTGAGCTTGGCCGCTTGGCTTGTAAAGCTGGGTTAGTGAATGGAGAACCTCTATGTTCTTTATGAGAGATCCCCAAGTGAAAGACACTGAGAGATTTTTAAGTTTGACCTCTTAGAAGTCGAGAGTCATCACTGTTGTTTTGGTAATTACAAAATTACACTGTTAATTGAATAATTAGTTACATAAGGAAATACATTTACATGGTTTTGGATTCTGGGGCACTTGTTTCAGTGTCATGCAATCACAAAAATCATGGGAAATATATAAAAGAAGTAATTTATTTATATAAAAGATTTTTTAGACAGACGCAACAATAACCTTTCATCACATTCACCTCCATCATTCACAAACACAAAGGTAATATCGACTGAAAGTTTACTTCAATAAGCTATTTCTCTTGGCAGCATTGTCCTGGACCCGTGTACTCCTATTAAGAAGTATTTTGAAATGTTGGCGAGAGCAGCGGCCAAACCTGATCCTAAAAGTGATGAAATAGGATTAGTTACCCCTGTCTAAACATTCTCATTCATTAGGATGTCCCTGCCAGGCCCTACATCAGCACTCCTGCTCTGACAGTTTGATGAATTGCAGTCTTTGGTCTTATCAGTGTAACACAGTTCGTCTTAAAAGATTTAGACCTTCGTCACTTTACCGCTGGAAATTCTTCATTATCGTTTCACCATGTTCCCCCCTGCTGCAGTGGGCTGGAGAGCAGATCGGCTTTACTTCATCCCAGATGTTCCTCCTTACACACTGCAAAAAATCTGGGACTGTTCAGCAGGTCCAGGGGGGTTGGGGGGGTTAGGGACAGCTGCTGTAAGACAGACAGACGCATAGGCAGGCAGACAGAGAGACAAACATGCAGGCAAAGATAAGGTCAGCCTGGATGGCCTAGAGAAGATTCCTGAGGTGCTGAAGAGCAAAACCGGTTAACCCTAGTATATCCCCCAAACTGTATACACCTCTTCTTACATTTTATTGAATTATTTCTACACTGTCAGAATAAAAGGTACTGTGCAGGTGCATTTTTTGTTAATCAAGGTAACAATGTGAATGTACCCTTAAGGGTACAACAATGGTTTTAAGTCCAACTGTGTACCTTAAATACTTTTCCCCAGAGGTAACATAACAGTTTAGAAGCTGAGGGTGCAGCTAATTACAGAAATTATGTCAAAACTGAGGATTCTACACTTCCATACTGTCTTTCTGTGGAAAGAACACAATTTTTGTTATAAAACAAGCAGAAAAAATGGTAAGATAATGGAAAGGTAATTGCAAATGTCAATACTGTCAATACAGAAAACAATGTAATTCATTATATAACTAGCTATGTAATCAATTATATAATTACATGTAAGCAATTATACAATGCTAATTGAATGTACTGAAGTAAAGCAACACTAACTCAGGACTTCTAAGGCTTAAATGGCAGAGCTGCAACAACCGGTACCACTTTCTGTCCCCCTCTACATGTGTGCATCTGTGCATATCATAATCTGCTATGGTTTCGGATCATTAAAATGTTCCATTGCTGAGATTTTCAAGCATGCCTGATCACTCTCAAACAAAACAATATCAGACCTTGTCTTTTGCAATCAGACACCGCCTGATAAATGATGAGAAACAGCCTGGGTGAGGAATCTAATCATGTTGAAAAACACTCTGAGAAAAAGCAGGGGAATCAAACTGTGAAATTGTGGGTAGATCACTTTAGAAAGAGAAAGGAGAAAAAAAGAAACGAGAGCGAGAGAGAGATTGGATGAGGAACAGATGTGTTGTAGGTAGCAGCCGGTTATCATTACTTCATCTTCTGCAAGTCGATTAGGAACACATGACAAGCCCTCATCACTCAGCCTTTGGGGCACGTCGCCATAGCAGAGATCAGAAAGCTGTAAACAGTGCAAAAAGCCTTGTTCTGGTTAATAGGATTATACTGTCTTATAGCACCCTCTGGTGGCAGGTCTAAGACAGTACTGTCAGTCCCAGTGGATTCATGTCAGTTCCCTGCAAAGAGATTATCTCAGAATGTATTACCCCAGGGTCCTCTTATGACATTTATGTGGGTTTATGTACACACAGAACAGCTATCATTCATTTTTAATGACTATTTTCCAATCTCTATTTATGTCTTAGAGTTAAACAGGCTCTTTTGTTGCTTTGTCTTCAAGATATATATATATATATGTGTGTGTGTGTGTGTGTGTGTGTGTGTGAATGACCTCTGATTGACTGCCTTGTATTCATTTAAAAAGCAGTCTGCTGAAAAGTCCTTTTAACGTTAGCATGAATGGGTGGGGCTAAACAACACAATACAAAGCAGGCTGTTTTTTCAGCTTAATTTCTGTATATGGACTATGTAGACTGAGAAGTGAACAGTATACTTTATAATGTTAACAGTGTCTATATATTTTTAAATAATGCTTCTATTTCAAAATGATATAATATGGCTGATATTCTAACAGAGCTTACCAACATGGAACAAACAAGCTACACAGCATTGTGTTTTTCCCTACAGTAACTTACCTGAGTGGCATTATACAAAGCAGGATTTCTCAGTTAGCTAGATAAAATAGTTAAATATTGAGGGTCTCCCACTAGGAATGTTCCTTAACTCTTTTTTGGACAGGCTGAAAGCAACAGTTTGGAGAAAAAAACACAATTTCCCATGTTTGGTGTCCAAAGTGTGGTTCTTTAACTGTGCACTGGTGCTTCCAAAGCAAATTTAGCTGACAAAAAATGAGAGCTTATGTCTGAAATTGCATGGCTAAGTCATCATACACTTACAGTCATGTGGAAAAAATAGGTGATCATCAGCAAAACAGTATGTATAGATAAATGTTACATAATAGAACAAAAAACAAAGGAAATTTGTCTTTACAAGCATTTTTTAAAATAAATTGACTGAGATGCCCTTTTTCAGGTTATACTTTAGCAACTGGTATTGCCCCTTTTAACAGAAACATGTAGGCATTTCCTATAACTGTCTACCAGTTTCTGATGTCTACTGGGAGAATTTTTTGCCCACTACATCCTGCAGAATGTGCAGTGTTTGAGGGACTTCATGAATGTACAGCCCTTTTTAAATCCCCTCACAGCTTTTCAATAGGATTCAGATCTGGGTTTTGACTAGGCCATTCCTCAACTCTTGATTTCTTTCATTTGAGCCTTTCTTTGGTTTTATTTACTTGTGTGTTTAGGATCATTATCCTGTTGGAAGCTCCAATTTTTCAGCTTCAACTTTTTAGTAGATGGTCTCACATTCTCCTCTAGCACTCTCTGGTATGAAAGAGAATTTATAGCCAGTTCTACAATACGATGCAAGTTGGCCAGGCCCTGAGGCAGCAAAGCAGCCCCAAACCATAACATTTCCACCACCATGATTTACAGCTGATATGAGGTTCTTTTAATCAAATACAGTCTTTGGTTTTTGCCAAACATGGCTTCTGGTACTATGGCCAAACAACTCTACCTTTGACTCATCTGTCCATAGCGTATTGTTCCAGACATCCTGGCCTTTGCCTAATTATTCATTAGCGTACTTTAGTCTTGCCCCAATGTTCTTTTTAGACAGCACAGGCTTTCCCCTGGCACACCTCCCACTTAGGTCAAATTTGTGCAGTCTCGTTCTAATGGTAGATGCTTGCACTTTTACATCTACAGTGGCAAGACCTACTTGCAGATCCTGTGATGAAATGTTGGAGTTCTTTTAGTATCTAAACGTCTGCTCTCAGGTTAAACTTGTTGGGGCGGAATGGCCTGGACATGTTGGCAATGGTTTTAAGTCTTTTCCACTTGTAGATGATTTTCCAAACAGTGAAAGGATTGATTTCTAATATTTTGAAAACACTTCTCAAACCCCTTCCCAGATTCATAGACATCAACATCTTTATTTACTGAAGGCCTCAGAGAGCTCTTTTGATCTAGGCATGATGATAACACAGACACCAACGACAAAGAGCAAATCAGATATGTGAGGTTTAAATAAGACAAGGTCCTAAAAGATATTCTCTAATGGTGTTCTGATCATTAGCACCTGATTGGGTGCACCTGATGTTTGAGGTAGCGATATGTGTAGGGGTGTACATTCTTTTTCCACTTAAGTAAACTGAATTTTTGTTATCTCAAATATATAATGGATGACATAAATGTTCATTTTAGGTGACACCTTTATCGATCAAAATTGTTTGAGTAAAGACACGGAAAAGTCCAATTATGCAGAAAAGCTCTAAATATGCTGAAAAAGTCTAAACCTTTCACAGGTTGTACTTCTTCACATTGTATCTGTATCTGTATCTTACACACTGTATCTTAAAAGTCTGCAGAGCTGTTAAGCAGTATCATATAGACTTGCATGTCACATTGTATGAAATATAATTACATAACATGATGTAAGGTAAGTGTATGGTGATTTGGGTGTTTGCATGGTGCCAATTGGTGGGGTATAAGCTTCCATTAGTTAAGGTGTGGTGCAACACTAAAGAAGCAAATTTCAGGCACCAAACCTGCCTCGGCTGAATGGGTACATTTGGGGTAAGAGGGGAAATTAGAACTTTTTGCAGACTGTCACTTACATTACATTATACATTACACATTTGTATGCAAACGTTTGGGCACTGCTGGTCGAATGACGCTTTGTTGATTTTCTAAGTGGAAATAAGCTGACTCATCCTCTACAGAGGTGTAAAATATGCCGGAAAATGCCATATTTATGTTTGTTGTGTTGATCAACAAAACAATCAATTTGACCAGTACCGTTCAAACTTTTGCATACGACTGTCCTAGTTCTTTTCATCAGCAAAGTACTAAGAGCTTTATTAGCTGAATCAGGTCTCTATGTTGTATATGTTAGTTGTCTGTTCATATGCACACATCTGTGCATATCCTTGAATGCCCTTGTGTGTAGTTTGTGACAAACTTTATGTGTTGTGTTCAGGAGCTTGAAAAGCCTAGCCCACCCCAGAAGCCTTTGCCCGCTGACCCGTTGGGGCGCAGTATCCGGTTGATGCGGAGCCCAACAGCTATTCGCCTGCCTGCCCCCATTCCAACCAGCACCCCACGCTCAGCACCCCCCCACACACAGCCCAACAGGTCAGCACACTGTTACACAACAACACCCTTTACAAACCATCATACATACTATGTAAGATTTTTTTGTTAAAATTGAAAGAAGTAGCATTACTGATTCACAAAAAACACCCTAAAACATGGTGTGTGTGCTGCAGCAAGACTCAATGTTTAGGTCTCAAATGCAAAATCAACATTATACTGATGAAGATATGATGACAATACTAGATAATTCACTCATCCTCAGAAAGCACTCTTTCAAAGCACTCACAATCTTCAGATTCATCTGCTTGGCATGATCAATGTCACTAGGTGTTCTTCCGAACGTTTTGTGCAATTACTCACTTCCACCAGAGAGGTCTCCAAATCCCCAAATCTTATAAAGTGTGGCTTTAAATACACATATATTACACATACACATATGATAAATACACATACTTTTTTTAACATAAAAAATACACTACATCAGTATGGAAAATAAACAAAGATGATTTTCAGTGAGTAACAAAGTACATTTTACATAACTTAGAATATGACTGGCTAGCATTTCACTGCAGTGCTATATCAGTGGTAACAGTGTTCAGTCTAAAACTTCCATGAATTGACTGAAGAGTTCAATGAAATGAGCTAATGAGTTCAATTAAATGCAGGCTAATGAGGAACACTCTACAAAAATGCAGAAATTCCTCTTTAATTTTACCTTTATTCACATTACCGACCCTTTACTGCATCCAGGCAACAGTATAAGGCCACTATAACATATTACAGTGTGACTGTATTTCTGTGCACGTGTTTTAATTTATAATACTTGCATTATTATTATTTTCTCTCATGCAGATGTCCACTTAGACAACCCTGACACTGTTACAGTATAGTTACTGTTGCTGTAAAGCTGTATAGTTGTGTATATGCTGTACTGTATTATACTAAACTGTATTAATGTATTATACAATACTGTACTATACTTTATTATGCAATACTTATTATATTATTACTGTAACAGTATTTTAATGGTATGCTTTGTTTGTTTGTTAATGATTTACTTTGCTTTCATGCAGACCACCTCCTAAGCAGCCCCCCACACTGCCAAAGCCTCAGTTCCTCACAGGCATGCCGAAGCCCAGCAGTTGAGAGCCAAGCTGCAGGGACCTGAGCGGAGAGAACACACACTCGATTTTGCACTATGAATCTCCGCTGGTCTTAATGAACAGTGTCTCTGAGTTATGATCATGGGGGTTTACGTTTTGATCCCCTGGTGCTACAGCCCCTGTCGGTGCTATGAGTCGACACTCAGGTACACGTCGCACATTATTTATGTTCGTCCAAACTGTATTTATTTCAGCACAGTGCATTGTAGTGGACTTTTATTTCACATTTTTGTGTGGTTTGTCCTGATTTCAGTTGGGTTTAGTATTGTTTAGTGATCAGAATTTTGATGATTCAACAACGTGGAAAGAGATATGAAAGACTTTTATCTGTGAAAAATGAGTAGAAAACTGCAATGTAGGTGCATTTTAATGGTAGAAATGGTTTGTGGGAAAAAATGCTTTAAAAGGGAAACATTTGGAAGCTCCACTTTGCCATGATGTGCTCTGTGGGTGTACAGTCCCTGTGTGTATTACCCATTTAAAATCACTCATGAATCAGTCATGCCTAGTACCATTTCTGCAGCTTTTGTTTGAGTGAATAGTCATTTGAAAGCTTACCAGAAACAGCCAGGAGGAGGTAATTCACAAAACCACAGACTTGTGTCTTCTGTAGTCAGCCAGCTTTGTGACTTTATATGAGAGACCTTTTTTCTTGTTTATCTAAAAATACCCTGTTTCTCAACTAAAGAAGCTGTACATGAAAGTCTGTTTCAGTAGTGTCTGGGTTTTATAAACTTTTTTGAGCCTTTTCCTTCTTCCTTCAAAATAAGTCATTCACCAGTGATCACGACTCCACATGATAGTTATGATGCATCCTGTATATTACATGCCATTTCATGCTAACTCCTTTTGTGAGGATGGTTGGGTTAGACTATAGTTATTTTACAAAAGCAAATTTACTCTATTTTGATCTCCAAATGTACAATGTGCCATCTAGAGTCTTGCTTCAGTGGCTGTAGTGGATGAGAGGTACAGGAAAACTGTCTGGTAATGGGGGACTTGCACAGCAATACCAGGAAAACAGTGAAAGAAAACAGATTTGGGATGTTTTTTGTTTGTTTATATCATACAAAACATGATATCTGTAGCAAACGGGAGACACAAAAATTCCGTGTACCCCAGGGGCGACTTTGCATTTTTACATGTTGCTGATATTTTCAGCCATGACAATATGTTTCCACTGAGCCTACATTTATCACACGTCTACTCTACACAGCGTAGAGCTGTATAATGTGCTTCTCTCTTTAGCGTCCTGTTACTCCGAAGTTGCTTTTGTGTGAAACCATAGGGGGTGTCGAGAGCTGACACCTTACTTTTTGATGCATATATTTTACTTCAGGTGATACTTTGATTCCTGTTTTCTTTCATACAGTTCTATGTCTGTAATGCATCATTATTTTTAAAATGCATTCAGAAAGACTGTGCAAGACCAGATACAAACCTGTGTCAGTGGTATTCATGCCACAGTAGGTAACCTGCTTTGCTTGGCTTGTTTGGCAGTCTTTATCCCTGTACTCACTTTTTACCATTTTGTAACCACACACTTGTATCAGTATTTCTACACATAAAAATGTAATATTAACTTTCTTTATTTTGCTCAGTGACTGAGAACACAAAGCTTTTTTTGTACGATAACTCTTTGATAAATCAAAATGTAAAACCCTGTAAATGTCAGTGTGTCAGAGGAGTCATAGATTTTGAACTCACGAATTATGAACCAGTGCTAAGTAAAGTTGTCTATGAAACTGATCTGTGATGGACTGAGTGAGTTTTTGCTGTTTGAGAAGCAGGACTGTTCTTTTCAGTGCTGCCCACTGGCCTCTCCTTCGCTAACAAAGGGATGATATTCTGAAACATACAACAGTCAAACAGGTTGTCATGAAGTTTCAAACATATCATTCACTCCCCAGTGCATGCAATCCATATATGGAAACTAAGCTGTAAAAACAGCTTTTGTGATGTAATGAAAACTAATTTACATTCATCCACATTTTCAGACTACAGCAGTTTAGCCCCAACCATTCTTGCTGAAGTTACAAAGAGTGTTTCAGCCTGCTTTTCAAGTGAGGCACAATACAGTGTAGCCAATCAGAACAGAGGTAATTTACATATATTCGTCTTGTAACAAAAACAGCCTGTTTAATTCTGAAGATAAAGAGAATGTACAATGTAAAGATTAACTTATGGTAAATAAAACCACACAAACATTATAAGTGGACCTCAGAGGGAATAAACAAGAAAATGTAGGATATGGACACTTTAAGAGGATGAAGTGCATCGTTACCTTTCTCTGAAAAGCTTTAGCCATCTCTAGAGCACCAGCACCAAACTGAAAGAAAGTGCTGCTGTTTGGTTAGTATGAACAGAAACACTGAAAACCTATGGTCAACATAGTTAGAAATGTGGTGTCCAGTTTATTTAGCATTATGAAAGCAGCTAATATTGCATCTGCATTTGTGAAAGGTTTCCTGTATTCTACGTGTACAATAAGAAGAAAGTAACTAATATAAAGTTTGCTAGATTGAGAGAAATAAAGAATGTTACTAAAAATAATATATATAGTAGTTGTGGAATGGTAAAGACTGGAGGCTCATCTGAACTGGGAAAATGCCTTTAATTTCAACCATGCATAAGACAGGTTACTTCCTATTACTGTCATGACAATCCATGTAGCCATATATCTGACCAGCACCAACTCATATATGCTACTAACATGCTGAGTGAAAAACTGCTGCTCATCATATGTTTAAAGCCCACTTATCATGGATAACTTTTGAAAAATGCAAGTTTGATGTACCACGTAAACATTGCATTAAACACACTGTTCACTCCGCAGTCCATACGTTCCATAAATGAAAATTAAGCTGCAAAAAAGCCTGTGTTAAATTCACTGCTGATGTCACAAAAACATTGTATTTACATATGTCTGCCTATTCAGCCTTAAGCAGTTTAGCGGCACTCATTTATGCTGAAGTTATAAGGAGTGTTTCAGCCCACACTTTTTGAATGAGGCACAATGCAGGGCAGCAAATTTACACATATCAGGGCACAATACATGGCACTCTTAAAGGCACAGTAACAAAAACAACCTGTTTAATCCTAAAGGATAAAGACAATGAAATGCCCATGCAAAAATCAATTATGACTGGTATATAAACTCACAAAGATAAGTGGACTTTAAGAGAAAAAAAGCAAGAAAACCTAGGATACAGTCCTTTTAAAATATGACCGGTTAGGGCCATGATGCATTACCTCATTTTTGATGTGCTGATCTGCTCCATTTTCTAAAAGTAGTTTAACCAGCTCCTCATGGTTATTTAGCACTGCCACCTGGTGAACATTACAGTAATTCATTCTGTCTTAACAGTATCAACACAAAAACATAGTGATACAGTCTCACTGTAATTCTGTTATTTGAATTTATGTATATATTTCCTATCTTGATACTATTGTTGCTCTAGTGAAAAATAAGAACATATTGTGAAAAGTTTCAACACTAATGCTGTCCATGCACTTTAGTGACGGGCCCTAAACAGCAGTGTGAGTTCAGCTCATACCATGAGTGGTGTTTTCCCGTCTTTGTCTTGTATGTTAATGTCAGCCCCTGCGCTGATGAGCAGAGCAGCCACAGCCGTGTTTCCGCCAACAGCAGAAACTCTGAGGAGGGGCGTCCATAAAGAAACGCTGTCTCTCACATCCACCTGAAGGACATGGAACACATCAGCTATCTTGTCCATAGTAAGGAGTGTTAAAGCATTTAACACTTACACAAAATACAAATGTTAAATATGCACCTGCAAAATACAATACAGTTCTGGTCTTTATTAGACATTAGAATGGGCGGGAAATACAGAACACAATAATATGCTGTTAACCCAAAAAAGCTTTCGGACACCACTGAAAAAAGGAATGTATTGGATAGTTTCAATTTATTGTATTCAAATACATACTTAAATATGTTAATCATTTCTGCTGGCCTGTCATGGGTGGGCATCAAGGGGCTGTGCCCTCCCGGTTTGATTGATAGGCCTGCAGCTAGCATATGAATTTTATATAGTTAAATTATTTATATTCTACAAGAACACAGAACACTAATTTATGGCAAAAATATTTCTTGATTCTACCCCGTAGCACTTAGGTAGAGCTAAGTAATTCTGACTGCAGTAACTCCATCCCCCAATACTCAATGACGGCAGCGTTGTATGATTAAACAAGTGCCCACTCATAGACATAAATATGCTGGCTTAATATTTTTTGGTTGGTGCGACAGGTCTGGATTTCCACAAATACAAAATATATATCATCAACACAATTACTGCCAAAATTAATTAAACTGAAATACAAAAGTGTTATGTTGTAGTGTATTCTATTAACCCCTTAACATTCCAGGCTTATAATTCAGTAACTACAGGGACTTCAATGCAAACTAATGGAGCTTTTCTTAGATTATTGAAGTGTGTAATAAAACTTTGAGCCTGAAAGCAGGCCCATGGCTTCGTAAGGAGTTAATGTGCAAAGGATGTATACATTTGAACAAATTAAACTGCATTAAAGCATTCTCAAAATTTAAGCATAATAGAATGTTTTCCCAACAGCCTGAAATGATCACAAGATTCAAATCAAAGGCAAGTCCCCTGCTTGCCATGTTTAACCACTAGCTTAGTAGTTTAACTAGTTAACTATTTTAACTAGTTACAGTATGTAAAAAAAGCCTCCAAATGGGAGCATAAATAGACCTGAAAATATCAGCATCACTAACTCTCCCAGTGCAGTGCTTGTGATTTCTGTTTGCCCTCTGGGAGTCTTACTTCACAGCCATCCTGCAGGAGGTACTCTAGTACAGGCAGGTGCCCTCCGTCTGCTGCCCAGTGAAGAGCACAGCATCCCCCGCGGTCTGTGGACATCCAAGAAGCTCCACACTCAAGCAGGTACCGCGCCACCTCCAAATGCCCCGAGAAACACGCCAGCATCAGACTAACATGCACATCAACAACCACAGCAACAGCACACGAAAGAAGTTATACAACCCATTGTCAAAGCTTTACTTTACGTCAATCAGAATTTGAGCATTCTTGAATAGCATGTATTCAAATAAACACTACAGTCATAGGTAAAAGTTTAAACACCTCCAGTCAAATTACGTTTTGTTGATTTTTTTTAAGAGAAAATAACATCATCTACAGGGAACAAACTCAAATGTGGGATTTTCTGCACATTTTGGTGCACAATTTCTAATTCTATTGGAAAAAAATATAACATATATAATGTGCCATAAATTTTGCACAAGCATAACTTGCATCAGGAGAAAATAAATAAAAATATTGGCAGGTTTTCGACAACTTTAGTAGTTTATATGCCCTGCCTATTGCTGTCTCTTGAGTGAGCATGTGCATATTCATAGGCTATTAGAAAAGTAGCTACTGGCTTTTATCCATCATTAGCAATGTGCTTTAATGTTTAGCTCTGTGTGTATTGATTACCTTACCTATCTTTTCCACTAGAGTTCTTCATGTTGACATCTGCTCCATACTGCACCAGCACCTGAACCAGACTGCAGTGAACTGTATTAGTTATGCACTGCATCCTTATGTAGTTCTGCACCACACTTCTACATTTTTTGTTAGTAGCATTTGTATAAGAAAACCTTAAACAGCACCATTTGTTATTTAAATAAACCATTAGGCTTTGGTACCATTTTTACAGGAAAGTAATGAACTATTATTATTAATGACTCCTGCCTGCTCCCAATGCAGATATGGCATTGAGATTTTTCAGTACAAGCTGCCTACTGTGCAATATGCAAGTGAAATACTGTTTTGCTTTAGTACAGAATGACATAGCTATTTAGTGTTGTTACAGCTCTCGTGTATACAGTAGGAGATACTGCTATAGTCTCCATGACAAACACAAGAACAGTATTTAGTTTACCTTATGAGGCCCCTCCTGGCTGCCACCATTAGCGGAGTGAAGCCCAGTCTATCAGGCACATCTACAACAACTGTCCTGCAGGGCAGAAAACTACACTTCAGTTTCACAATTAAGGACTCTAAGCTTGATATTGTCTTCTTTTCATATTAGTCTCATCACTAAAAAGGTCTTGGTTTTGACAAGCTGTTCCTAAAATAAAGTTTTATTTATTCATTTGTGTCTGTATCTAAACATTTACATTTCCTTTGGTCCTTATGTTCTCTGAGCTTGCCTGAGCACAGAAATGAAGGACCTAAAAAGTGAGTTGTTATCACTCAGTTGATCATATCAAATCTAGTTTTTTGGTCAAATGATTTTTTAACAAAACAGAAAACTTAAATTTGACTGTGAATAAAAGCATGAACGTTTAATCAAATGGGTACTGTTTGATGTTCATCCAAGGTACAACTGTACAACAATTCTTCAGTCTTTAGTCCTTTCAGAACAAGTTCTATGGTTTTTGTCCTTATCATATTAAAGTTAGATGCTGGACATGAATGGATTAAAACATTTATATGCTAATGTTTCCCTGGTCAAATTACGTTTTTTCCATAAGTGAAAATAAGTTTTCGTATTTTCTACAGGGATCAAACTTTAAATTTTAGTGCATAATTTCTATTTACTCGCCGGGTTTGACATACTGTAAAAATACAACATATAACAAAATGTGCTATAACTTTTGTACATGCCCTTTTTTATGTTTTATTTCTTTTCCTCAATGTTACATTCAGCAAAACAAAAACAGTAATTGTGCATTTAAATGTCCAGAAGTGTGTTAAATG